ACAGAAGAAAGATATATCTTGCCTTGAAAGGCAGATTTGCTGCCAGGCTGAACTTGAAGCACAAGGACCCTCCCGGTGCAGAATAATTTTCGAGAAAGGGCTCCGTTCACGACACATGCATACATTCATCCATCTACACACAGATGTATAAATTCACATTCAGTTATTATGCATTTTTGTATATATGCAAATGCAGCATATACATAAGTTTCATTCAGATTACGTATATGTATGAATTTTCAAGCCGGTATTACATGCGTGCCTTTCTAATCCATCACATCATTGAAAACGACTGCTAAAAATTAGCAGAAGAAGAAAGCTGAAAGAAAAGACGAACTTTGGCTTCTTGTGCGATGATGAATGCTCCTTTCTTGAAGGGAAGCATCGTGTCACTGGGATTTCTGGTTCCTTCCGGAAATATCCACATTTTTCGCTGAAAAGCACGAAAAGTTTGCACAAATGAAGAACAATATCTCTGTGCGAGTGAATCTATGGTCTGAAACCACCACTTATGCAAAATTCAGTAGCTTACTTTGGAAATTTTGACAGCTTCAATTGCCTGCTCCACTGATTTATGTGCTTTTTCCTTACTGAACCTGTTGATGAAAACTGCGTTGCAAAGATATGCACAGAGATTGAAGCCAGGCATGAATTTAAGGCTGCTCTTCAGCAAAATAACACAGTTTTCTGGCCATACATGAGTTAAACCTAAATATCAAATATTAGAAACACTGGATGAGTGAAAAAAAAAAAAAACTCTTTGCTTAAAAAAAAAGTTTTTCTTTCTACCGAATACTTTAGAAACTAAAATACGCAATCCTTTAAGCTCGCATGATTATTATCAAGTCGTTCCGGGACAGGCTAACCTAAAACATCAAGTGAACTTTGATGATTCGCAATGATCACGAATGGCTTCTCGGTTTGAATGTGCTGTCGATTACGTACTTCATAAGTGATACCACACCAGAATGTTAATAACTGAAATGCTCGAAATGTATGCCTGAAATGGGGAAATTCGTAATCTTCGAAACAAGCTTTTCGTAATCTTCGAAATCACTATTCATTATAGTCTTTTTTGGCACACTTTTGAGTACATTCAAAAAATGCGCAAAAACTGAGCTTAATAATTTTTCATATTTTTAAATGTTCATTAAATCATTTTGAATTCGCATGGAATTACGTGGAAGAGAAAAGTCTAAAACAGAGAAGAATGGAGAAGTTTCCGGCTGCATTGGTGCTGAGAAGAAACAAGATGATGAAATAACAATTGAAATAAGAATCCGAGGATTTCTTTGCAATAATTTCTTTTACTACATAATTAGCTTTTACTATATTCTTATGTACAAACGATGATCGATGTGGAAAAAACGCTATTTATGAGCTGAAGGAACATAACAGCGGTATGGCATTAGCAAAATTTTATATTTCTCTCAGGAACAGCGAAAAAAGCGACAAGTATCAGAATCGCCAGCAAGTGTTGCAGTAAGTTTGTGCGCGAATATCAGGGAAAAACAGCTAAATGAGCTGATGAGATGAAGATATGCTTCGTTGAAAAGGTGACAAAAAATATAAATCGTCACAAGTAATGTTCGGATATATTTATAAAATAAAGAGAATTCGGGAAAAAGAAAATTCGGAGAAATGAAATTTCCTGGAAAAATGCAGGAAAATCGAAAGCAAATTAATTAAGAAAATGCAAAAATTAGGAAAAACTGTTACCAAAAAAGCGCAAAATTTTCGATTAAAAAAACTGCCCAAAAAGAAGCAAAATTTGCTGAACGAATGCGGAAAAATCAAGAACAAATTAATTGAGGAAATGCAAAAACTAGAGCAAATTTTTATCAAAAAAGCGAGAAATTTGATTTAAAAAAAATGTTTAATTTAGCGTAGAAGTGAAAAACGGTTTTCAAAAAATGCAATTAAAAAGAAGAGTGTGAAAGTAAAAAAGACGATATTGATAATGAGGCAAGAAAAAAAAACGAACTAGCAATTTGTTTTTTAGTAAAACACATAGTAAACATTTAGTAAAACACATAATTATTAATT